AACCTCCTTGGGCAACCTGTTCCAGTGCGTCCTCTGTGTGAAAAACTTCCTCCTAATACCTAACCTAAATCTACCCTGTGTTAGTTTAAAACTATTCCCCCTTGTCCTATCAGACCTTGTAAGATCTTGTAAGATGTGGTTTCTTCATTTGAAGACCGTTTTGCTTCAGCAAACTGTTTAGATTTGATGAGAACATTCTTATACATTTCATTTAACCTGCATTTTTGTCCCTTTCACTTCAAAATAAAAAGGCATATCCTTTGATCTTTGAATCCAGATGAGTTTACATGTGGAATAAGAAATAGGGAAATTCATCAAACTTCATCATATTTCTTGCAGAACTGTGGCCTTGAAATGGCCTAGGCAAGAGAGAACAAAATGGAAAACAACCCGATACCCATGCAGAAGTCTATGCTTTGCCTAACACTGCATGTAATTCTCACAATATACAATATTGCTGGAAAATACTGTACTACTAAAGTTGCCAACAGTCTGGCACAGTGGGGCCATACTTATGTTCTCATCCAAGCTGTTCATGATATCTCCTTCTTTCAAGCCATTAGCTACAAAAAAGAGACCACTGAATTCACTGGTCACTTGTACATTAGATCATCCAGTAAGAGTACACTCAGACTTAGGTTTCAGAGGTCTAAGTTTGAATATAGGTTGCCTTAGGCAGATTAACTCCTGACGCAGATAACAACCAGCAGTATTTTACTGTTCACAACAATCAAACGTAGAGGTTCCACTGCTTAAATCCAGACTTTTATTAAATGAAGGCCTACAGTGACATGAATTCAACTAGCTGACATGTATTTCAGGCTACTAAAGTGAAGTTAAGGTGGTGCAAAAAAAAAGTACTAATAACAATGAAGCAATTGATTTTTATTATTTTTATTTTTTAAAGAAAGATAACTTCCTCTAAAACTTCTAACAAGAATAATGTGCAACACAAAAGGCAAAATCATGTGCAGTGTGATGGACTTCTAGTACAAATGAAGATGAATGCAAGAAATTTCCACCCATGTACACTTTATAAGATGTATATCTTTTTTTTTAGCTCTTCAGCAGTCTTGTCACTTTCTTTGGATATTTCTCATGGTATGTCAGTCTTATTCATTGAAGCTAACAGTGACACACTGCCCAAATAATTCTCTCAGGTGGTTTGAACACAAGGTGTTTTCAGCTTTGCTACACCCACAGAATAATAGCTTTAATTTCTCCTGAGGTTGTGTAGGAAGATACTAATGGGGTCTGAAAAAAAATAGGAACTGTCTTGCATCCAACAACATTCTAAGATAGAAGATTTCTTCATCAGAATATAGGGATGCAGAATAAAATTGGTATGAAACACTTCCATACCACAGCCCTGCTCCAATAATTTGGCTTTCCATTGTCAGACACTTACAGCAGCACACAAGAGGCAGTGGGGCTGAGCTTCAGGATGCTCGCCATAGAAGCACTGTAAAATTGAACAGAGAGCACAGGGAAGCAAAGGAGAAGACTTCTGTCCTTCTATTGAATAGAGAATGCTCCTCAACTGCACAGTTACCAATCACCAGATGCTGTTATAATACTAATTTAATTAGAGACAGTGAGTTACAGTCTCTTATGACATACCTTACTAACTGTGAAGTTGATTCTGCCACACTTACTATATAGAGAATTCAAAAAAGAAAAAAAAATCAAGAAGAGGACAAGACACCGTGTTGCCTTCCATCCACCAGTGGCAGAATTGCAATTAATTCATTTTTGTACTATAAGAATTACAACAGAAACATACTTACTCTGACAATAATAATAATTGTTGGAAATTTGAAAAAGAATTCATAAAAACTGTTGTAAATGCTTATGATAGTACCCACACTGCTGTGCTGTGGGAATTCTGTCTGCATCAATGGAAAACCACTTCAGAGCCCCACAGAATAAAGAAGCACTAACTGCAAAGATAAGGATGAATAATGATGTTCCTTCCTTACGCTATTTTTTTAATATAGAATTAGGCTAACTTAGAATGTTGCATTTCATTAAGATGCTTGGGTTCAGGTTATAGGTAAACAATAGGCATATAGGAACTCACTTTAAGTTAACTCCTTGTAAATTGCAGGAATATCATTACAAGAGCTGTAGTTATATTATTTGATTGAAGAACCAACAATAATTAAAACCAATGGTGATGGTGAATTTAACTAAAAAAGTTTATATGTTTGGGGGAAAAAGAATTAAGAGTAGTTTAGAAAAAATCAGATGCCACAATGAATCCATGTGACTGAGATCTAACAAAGCTATGTTCAGTAATTAAAATAGATGAAATACTTCAATTTCTCAACTGTACCATAATTTCCAACTGAGAAAACGAAAGGAAACTGATCCCAGGAAAAGTTTTAATATAGAAGAAATACTTCTCAACTTACTCAGAAAGCTAATAGTGAGGCGAATTGCCTCTTTTTAAACAAAAGTCTCAGTACCGAATAGATGCTACCTGAACCAAACAATTTATTTGATCCAATGTGAAGAGCTAACATTTTTAAAGATTACCTGGGAAAAGGATTTCTATGTAAGCATCACTTCCAGGTTACAAAAGTGTGTCGTCAGTGCTTCAGGTCCTTAAATCTAGCCCTAAGTGAGGGAGAACCTTTTCCTCTTCCTGACTCACATAACAAGACCTCAGAAACAATTTTCTCAATACAATCAGAATTTGTTTATAAAAATAAGAGCAATCAACACTGCTACATACACAGGAATATATATTCTGTTTAGAGAGATGAAAGACAGCACAGAAAAACTCTCTGAAAACAAACTGTTTAACAATCAACAGTGACAGCTATAAATACCAAAACAGTAAAGACAGTCAACAAAATTAGTATCCATTTGGTTAATTTCAAAGGATTCTCTTAAGAACTGAAAATGCTTACTGTGGGGAAAAAAAAAAAAAAACAACACAGGATGCCACTGACATTTTATAATAGATTAGAAATATTAATAGAATTATTAGATTTCTGAGTCTATTCTAGCTAATTGATATAACTGTTCATTCAGATAACATTAAAAATGTACATTTTTCTAAGACAAAAAAAAAAATCAAGTCCTATAATTATGAACATCTCCAAATGAAAAATAAGGAAGGAGAAAAGAGTTGTTTTGACCTAAAAAAACAGTGCATTTTCTACAAGAAAAGCTTGAGCTTACATAATCACCTGCCAGCACTGAAAATGCCTACAAATGAAGTCAGGCAGCAACATTTCATTTTGCTCCCAGAGGGGAAAAAAGAAAAAAAAAAGAAAAATCTTTTATTTGGAAATTACTTATCTTGCTAGAGCTATCAAAATGCACATGTACTCACTAACTCACTAACTCAAACTTCTTGTCTCACTTCAATGTTTAGAATAGCCAGCTGGACTCAGACGTTGCAAGTCCTTTCCGACTGAACTATTCTATTTTCAATTCTGATATTTCAGCACAGCCAAAATTACAAGATCAATTATACCAACTAGGAAACAGAATGGCAGGCTACTATCCAAAAGATATTATGGTCAAATCCATTGTTTGTTGAGGGTCAGGTCCCTGTTTTGTCTTAAAATAACAATGAATAATTTATCTGAGCCAAAGAAAAAAATGATAGTAAGACAATCTCTGACGTTCACCACTCTTCTACATACAATAGTTCTTACTCCCTCATCAGTTTCTAACAGGACATACAGTCATCCTTCAAGTGTTAACAAATTTTCATTGTACTAAAACAAGTAAATAAATTTGGGGAAAAAAATACTGCTTATCTGACTTCTTATTCTCAGAATAAGAAAGGACAATCTCAACAGTTTTTTAATTTAAATCAAAATAGACACAGAATGGGTAGAAAACCATAAACAGGTTATGAAACTAATATTCAGCCACTTGTACAGATTATTTTATGAAAGTGGTGACAAAGAAAACAAAAACAAATACTTGTGTTGACAGAGCCTTTTGGAGACCTGAGCACACACCTGGGGTAATCTATATAAAAATAAGAATTGGATAATAATCTCTCCAGACAGAGCTGAAGGTAGGCTAGTATATTCATCAAAAGTATGAGCTACAGAATTCTGAAGCTACAGAAGGCAGGCTTGTTGTGTCACATTGATGTATACTGTTGTCATCTAAATTATATTCAAGAAAACTCCAACAATCAAATGTTCTCAGAATCCTATCCCCTACAGTCCTGTGCTTTTACAAAAAAAAAAAAAAATATCTCAAAAATGAAATGTCAGTTCCTCACAGAAATGGCTTCAGCGTGGTTAGAAAATCTGCAAGGTTCTTCCAAGAAAACCCAGGAAACACTAAAGGTAGAACTTCTCTTCATGTAATTTTAACAGATAAAATTGAAGCAGTTAAATCTATTCTTTATGACCAGTGGATATAAATCTGGCACTTCCAAATGGTGACTCAACTAATTCTATATAAATCTTCTATCCTCCTTCACCAATCTCTGGAGATGACAATCTCTCTTCACTGACTTTGAATAAAAATTGGCATAATTCTCCTGATTCTTAGAAAATAAAGACCTGGATAGCACAAGTTAGGCAACATCTCCCCAGCTACAAAAATATTTATAATTCCAGGTTTAAATTCACAACACTTAATCAACCCTTGCTCTTTTCTAAATGGTTAGAATCAGGAATATAGTATGTTGCTACTTTTTGCCATATTCTTACAAAGCATAAATCTAATTGTTTACTTTTTTAACAAAGTTTTTGTCCGTTAATAACCAAAATTGTTTAGCTGAGTTCCATATTTATAGCTGATACTTAAAGTTTGAAAGTTTCTATTTGTTTTTATTTCCTATCATGCGTATGTCCATATGTAATAAAGTTGTAATACTTTACTTGATGCAAATAATCATGAATTTTACAGATTCAATTTTATTTTGTTCAGCATTATACAGATAACCATTCTCCCTCCAACATTCAGGGTAATTTTTAATATTACTATAAGAAATAATAAAGAAAAATCTTCAGACTTACTCGAAAGTAGTCACTACAGGCTGCCAAGACTGCCTTATGTGCATGGAATTTCTGCTCTTCAGCAATAAGGGTGATATCGCAAAGTATGCCATCACTTCTTTGTTGGTTCAGGGCTGCCAGAACAGCATCATTATGGGAGCTCGACTGACAAAGCCTCTGACCTGTCAACATTTCTTGAACGCTGAGAAGGAAAGGGGGAAATATTTTGTAAGTAAACATGGGAAAGCAATATGTAACAATTCTATAAGCAATATATAACAATGTTTTCTAAGAATGTTTGATATTTTTTTGAAATAAAGTTATGAATCCTATCAGGTCAAATCTTTACATGGCATATCCATTTCAAGAAAATCACAGTTTCGCAGTATTATAAAACCTGATTACACACTCAAATAAAAATCTCAGCCATTCTGATTTGCTGCACTGGATGTCATCTGCACTCAGAATTAACTCAAAACCATTTAAGAGTTAAATGAGAGGAATAAAGCCCTACACAAATGAAGTGATAGAAAATCCAAATGAATGATTCGTGGAGTGTGCCTGAATGTAAACAGCCCTACTCAGAAGAATGAAGAGTCTTGATCTCAAGTGGCCTGATTAAATCTGATATTGGATTACTCAAAATTTTCAGATTATTTTGGGTCATTTACATTTATAAAGCAGCATTTTTGTTGCTGTTGTTCTTTTGTTTGTTTTAATAATTAAGCCTTCCACCACCTCCGAATGTCAGATTGTACAAATGCAAGACTTCTGTGTCATCCAACCTAGGACTGTCTGGTTTCAGCTTCCTTTTCTAGCACAAAAGGAAGAGACAGTATAACCACAGATGTATTTTGATATGCAAATACAGTCCTAAATAAAGACAGAAACAAACAAATGAACAAAAAATCTGCAGAGCTTCTTTGGGACAAAACAATGCAGTTCATCTGAAATCTGAGAGACTATACAAATTTATATTGCCTGAGAAGTTAGTACCTTAGAGGAAATGATCTTACAGAGAGCCAATCCTGAATAACTCAATATTTAATTACAGGATAAATTTGCTACATACACAAGCTATGTCAGCAGCTGCATGGCTGCTAAATTCTCCTTTTCCATTAACACTTACTTACTATACTACCATACATCCGACTCCTGCACCTTTAGCTTTTACAAACTAATGCAGACCTGCCTTGTACACTGTTTGCTCTAATCTAATCTTTTAAAAAAACAAAAGCTAAGGTATTACAAAGGATAGCTGAAATGGAGTTACACATTATACACACAGCAGAACAACTTGTATATGTATTTCTTTTCAGGTAGTTTAGGTTTCACACGTGGAACTCTACATTCCAGAACAATTCATTCAAATGAAACTTTGTCCTTAATTATTCTGTTTGAGGAATGCCACTGAAATGCTAATGGATAATTAGCAAGAAATGTAACTTGTTAAAAAAAAAAAAGGAAATTATTTCTTACAATTATTTCTCTTCTGTAATTTCTACTACTGTTTTATGGAGGCAATGCTACCAGCTCAACTTCTGCACTGAAAAAATGAAGAGTAAACGAATAAAACTATATTCTTTCTGCAGTCTTCAACAACAATAAAGAATCTGTAGTGAAAGATTAACTATTAGTTTTGCTACTGAGTCCTGAAGAACTGCAGAATATGGTCTTCCCAATCTGGTTTCCCTCTTCTGTATTAACTGCAAAAACCTTTTTTTCTTCCTAGGAGAACGGAGAATGTAATAACATTGGAAGATTAACTGTGCAAGCATTATAACCTTATTATACTTAGAGATGGTTTCTCTCTATTTCTGTTCTGAAGAGGAACGATACAATACCCTAGTAATATCAGGCAGACCACTGAGATCCCAGATCAGCCCGTGAGCATTAACTACTCTCAAAATAGAACAGTGGTGAAACTACCAGCATATTAGAATAGAGCAAGGTTCCAAAGAAAAGCAACTGGATAAATAAATTCTGGTGAAATGTTTTTTTCCCTGACAGTGCTCTCAGAAACTAATTAAATCATAAATATCAAAGTCTCTGATGAGACAATGGGCAATACAAATAAATGAGAAAGTCTGGACTAGCAAGCAAATATGGATGACTAAGACTCTGGAAGGAGAATAGCAAAACGAGAAATTCTGGAAGGCTGATAGCAAAACAAGAAATTCTGGAAGGCTGAAAGAATTTGAAAGATCAATATGTGTCCTGAATACTGGAACACTACAAACATCAAAAATGATCACCGGGTACCATTTCATGTACATACATGTAAAACAGTAGTTGCTTTCACAATCAAAAATTTCAAGTATAAACAAGACCATAAACAAGATATAGATGAAGAGACTGTGAGACCCAGTCAAAATCTAGCATGTTTCCCTTTGCTAGGCATAAGTAGCAGCAAGAAAGCAATCTCTTGCAGATTATAATGTGAATAATGAGGAAAAAAAATATATTAATTTCATATTTCACTGCTAACTTATGCTTTAGTAAACATCACACTAAATGGGAATGACTTACTATGTGCCATCAAGTACTATACCTCAGGCACCTCTCAGATGGCATCTTTCAGTTTTGCTCTTCTGAACATCAAAGCTTATAATCCTGTAGAGAAAGCTGCAAGCATTCCAGCTAGAAAGAGAGAAAGGAGAGGCACATCAAAATTCAAAGCATACACAGCCTCAGTCTTAAAGATTAATACTTTTAGGAGACGCAATTCAAAAGTGACTTTTTTTCAATTCTTCTTCTGCAGAAAGTTGTATATCACATAGATTAGGTGCCTGTGAAATTGTATTGGCAAGATGGATTGTAGTCTGAAAGTGGCCTTTCTTCTAGTCTTCTTGAAGAACACACCTGAAGGGCAGCACTTGAGTCCTTTTTGCAAACTCGGAAAGGAGGATTACCTTAACAGGGTAGAAGAGGGATGAGGAAAGTAACGTTCCAATAACAATAAGAACAAAAAAACCCACAGTTTCTAGAGTAGGCCAGAAGTATCTACTACCACTTGCTTACTTATTTGAATAATAAGCAGCTATAAAAATCTTATACCTATCACAGTACAATCTCACAGTCCTTTGTAGGATCTGAGAGGTTTGCCATACACCAGAACACACTTTTTGACTGCATTAATTTTTCCCAAAGACACAACTGGAAGGCATACAGGAAAGAGTTTATTATGTGTATTTGGAAAATGAACTTCCCTTTTCTCGTAGCAACTGCTCTTGATCAGCTTATCAATACTGAAACACCACAAACACCTTCTGGAGTGTTACTCATGAGACAAAGTCCAAATAATCCAGTTCTTTGCTTATTTGATTTGTCCCTAATGGTGTCCTTCATAATCTTACGCTGACTAGCAGCTTTACTTTGAAAGCCAATGCACGAACTTCAGGGAGACTCCCTAAAAGATATGTGAAGGTAGAATTGAACCGTTGTCCATTTCTCAGATAACAAACAAGAAACCACTGTGAAAAGAATATTAATCCTGCTCCCATTCTTCAGTTCATCATACAGACAAAACTACAGCTCCTGCTTGCCAGAGAGACATCATGACATGTACTTTTCTGCAAGTGCTGCTGACTGTTCCACAGCAGTAGGAGAAACAAGTAGTAACTCTAGAGGCTTACAACTTTGTTAAAATGGCTTTTCTTGAAGTCAACACACAGTATGTTCTCAAGAATTCCCTGTAGATTTCAAGTCCTTCCTCCAATCCACAGAAGGAGTAACAGCCACTCAGTTGAGATAAAATCATGTATTCAGTTAGGCACGTCAGCCTAATTGGACCCTTGAGGCTACTGTGCACTTTCTCTTAATTTCTGTCTCTCTCTTGATCGAGAGAGTACTACAAGAAATACAGCTCAATAAAAAGTTAAAACTTCTCAATTAAAACACCCCAAATTTAAGCAGTTCACCCTCCTTCCTACCTACTGGGGCACAATAAAAATGTGTATTCATGTAATGATGAATTCCCCTGAAAGAAGCACAGCTCAACTCACTGTTTTGTAAGCATAAGTGGAACAGTGAAGAAATTAATACATTTTCCTTCCTCAACATCTCCAATGATTTAAAGTTAAGTCGTGATATTCTGGCTGAGAGAGCTGGGGATGTTCAGCCTGGAGAAGGCTCCAGGCAGATCCAGTAATGGCCTTTCAGTATCTAAGGAAGGGCTGTAAGAAAGAAAGGGATAGACTCTTCTGCATGGTCTGTTGCAACAGGATGAGGGGCAATGGTATCAAACTAAAAGAGAACAGATCTAGACTGCATATAAGGAAAAATATTTTTACAATAATGGTGATGAGGCATTAAGTTGACCAGAGAGGCAGTGAATGCTCCATCCTTAGACACATTCAAGGTCAGATGGACAGGACTCTGAGCAACTCAATCTAGCTGCAAGTGTTACTGTTCATTGCAGGGGAGCTGGACTAGATGATCTTTAAAGTTCCCTTCCAACTCTAACGATTCTATGATTATATGATATATGATATATGATTATATGATATTCCTGGCAGTTGCTAGGAAGTCAACAAGACACCCAAATAGCTCAGTACTAAGTTCAATATTTGCCTAAAAAATCTTCTCTGCATTCTGCCATACACTGCTTCTCCTATCAAATGCCAGTGCATGTCTCAACATTTTTTATTTTTAAATCAATATCACATATAGAAGCATACTCTAGCAGTATGTAAGTCATTTGATCAATAATGCATCATTTTTATTTAGCTTTGCTTAATGCAGCTTAAAATTTTTAATCACTGAAAATTATTATTTTTTTTTTAAAAAGACATTTTCATATGTTGTACAGTGCGCAAGGACATTTCCAAAATCCCTTTTACCAGGAGTACTTTTTTCCTGTTTCAGTCAGCTGGATCCATCTTTAAGTAAACTAACTTTCATTGGTGTATAAGGAAACTCTCTTTGTTTAGAATGTTTAAAATATATTATTGTCTTTCTACTTCTTTAAGTAATTAAATCGGTTTAAAAGATTAGTTTATACATTTAAGGATAAGACTTACAGTTTAAATAGAAAAACTTTAATTCCACCTAAATCCTTCTGTTCTAGTGAAATACTCCATTGTGCTGGAAAGATTAACAGGAAAATATAGGCCAAACAGAAAACACTCACTTGATCTTAGGTTTGAGATACATTCTGAATGTTTTATTTTACTTCTTTTTTGCATACTATTTCTTTGAGACATTCACTTTTTACAGGGCTACCACTGTTGCTATTAGATTTCACAACTTTTTTTTTCTTCAGTTGTTCACAACCTAAAAGAATACAAAAGTTTTAAAACAGAGAACGTAGTAATGATCCATAAAGTGAGTGTTGAAAGAACATAACAGTAATATAGAGGGTGACTTGAAGTTTTCCATGAAAGCACAGAATGTGTGAGGATTACAAAGGTAAGAAGTACAAAAGAAATGATACTGTCCAAGTAAATGAAAATGTGCCACACTAATGCATGAAAAAAATGTTTGCTCTGGCGCAGACTCAAGAAACATCAGTTTTTCCATGTATTTTGCATCTTAACTTTACAATGCAGCAGAGTAAAAAGCAGCTTGATACTCAGGAAATATTGGAGCAACGTGCCACTTGGCTGCATCCACAGTACATTGTCAGTGCAGTGCAAGAGGCATTTGTCCAAAGACTTGTTTTAAAAAATAATCTTTATTTAGGCACTATTTCCTACTTTAATTTATTTGACAGTAATATTGATTTGGAAATATTACATAAAGCAGTCTAAATACCTAAGGGTATTTAGTATATGCTACACACAGAAAGGTATTTATTAGCAGAATGCACGTGTCCTTTTTCAGAGAAAATCTCTCATTCAGTTAGGTTGGTTTCATCTTGAGGAACCAATATCAATACAAAGTTTACACAGGACACTCTCAAGACTTTTATAGAATTTCAGTCACTCATTTCTTTCTGTAGAGATTTGTTGCATAAAAGAAAGCATTCAGATTAATTCTTGAAACTACCTGCCAAAGAGAATACAAAATGGATTAAAGCATGGGGTAGCGTGGGGGGAGGTTTTTGAAATCAAAACTAAACTCACATTTAGTTTAGTTTACCACTGACAGCAATTCAAATATTACAAAATCCACTATTTTCCTCCTAGATAACAAGCTTTTTTTTCCCACTCATATATCCAATTTAACAGGATTTAAGCTGTATTCCAGGCTCCAGAACTAATTCTGTGCATAAACAAGTTCTGTATTTAGATTCATATGTCCTAAATGAAATGAGGCACATTCTTCTTGGGATAAAAATGACTAAATTACATAATTAACTCTATTGGTATTCATTCACTTAAGATGGGTGGCATCATGCTGAGCATAGTCCGGGTTTAGGAGCAAGTAAGGAGAAAAGAGGACAACTAGCTATGAATAAGACAGAAAGCACCAATTTGGTGGATCTGTACAGGTTAAGCAGGCTGTAGATGTCACTGGCAAGATGACATAATTTTGCAACAGCTCACTGCTATCTACATAGCTGTCATACCTAAACCTTCACTGTCACCAGAGGTGGCATCCCTCCTCTTCTGTTGATGGGCACTTGAAGAAGTGCTGAGAACCTTTGGCGATATCTTAAGGTAGAGCAAAACAGCTATTGCTTTGTCCCTGAAGACAGCCCCTGCTGTTTCTAAAAGACTCATAGCAACAAAATAATCAGCTTTCATTTCTGGAAGTTCACATTTTTTAACTCCTAACAAAGGATGAGGCAAGACACTTTGGGAACTGTAAAGCCCTTTACATTCAGACTACTCAAAAAGGTTTTCACCCAGTTAATCACAAATAAGGTTGCTTATAAAACATATATATTACTAACCTTTACAGAATAGCACTGTAATAGTTAAGCATTACTTTGTCTACAGTTTAGATCCTTACTCAAATTGCTTCTGAATTTGTCTTTAAAGTTCACTGATTTTAGTAAGTCATATTAAATGAAGCTATACTTCATCTTCTTTCAGACACAGAATAAAAATTGTCAGTGTCAAGTCTCTTCAGAAACAAGACATATATATGATATTGTTATTCAGAGAGAAAAAGGGTCAGAACTCTGATAAATTGTGAAAAGGCAAACATTTGGAAACAAAAAAAAAGAACAGACTTGGTCTTCTGAGTATGTTAATACGCTTCTCTTGCTTGTCCAGAAGACACTACTTTTCCCTTTAACATCTTTGAGAACTGAAAAATTGTTCTGATTCCATACAAAAATTTTCAAGAACATCACAACTGTGAGGAAAACTGCCACTGCCCAATGCTGTCAGTGACACTCTAGTCAATTGTGAGTTCTTCATCTCATTTAGACAGTGGCTTCCAAGAGAAAACATTCATAGTACAAAGCATAACAAAAAAGCACCTCTTAGACTTATTAAAAATTATAATACCGAGGGAGATAGAAAATGAGAAATTAGATCTGTTGGAAAAAACACCAGTCAGTCAAAACAAGAAAATATTCAGCAAAATCAGTAAACTAACTAAGTAAAAGCACAGAAAAACTAAAACACTATACTCCTCTGGTTAGCTACAATCTATTTTCCTGTGAGATTGGACACGTCATTGCTATCTTCAGGCTGTCAGCTACTGCCAATTAGAATCATGAATTTTATTGTCTATCACTATCGAAT